ACTTTGATATCCCCCAGTCTTTCTTTCCACAGTAGAAGCAAAAGCCACAGGTAAAATTGTCATTTCCTTCCTTCATTGAAACCATCTAACATCAGGAGAAAAATGATGAAACAATTGACTACGAGCACGTGCTAGCTTATAGGAAGGACACTAACATAAAAACATAATGTGCAAAAGAATGGATCACCTGGTTCCTCTGAAGTTTGTTTTCCAGAACGCTCAAAGAAACTGAAGTGCTTTTGGAATTTAGATTTTCTCTGCGGTGATCGACAAGTTTAGCTCTCAAAATTAACAAAATGTGAAACCCGGAAATAAACAGAATGTGTTAGAAAGCAATATAAATGATAAAACTTCAGATTACCTTTACTTTTGTTCCCGAGAAGCATGGAGGGAAATCCACTGCATTCTCCACTGCTCCATTCCCTGAGAAACTGGCTTTCTTCTATTCAAATATATATATAAAAAAAAAGAAGTCCCATTAACCTCCTAAAACGAATTGCTACCGATGAAATTTTTACACATAAAATAATTATGCCATAACATTATATAACAATTATAACAACAATTACATTTTCCTTGTGACTTGCCTTAGCACAGTTAAGAACAGGGGAACTGGCAGTGTCATCGAGGGTTGAAGGATGCTGATTGTTACCATATTCTTTGACCTTGTTCTTCTTCTTTTTTTCTGATTCTTTGGTGTGGTGAGAAGAAGAAGAATACCAATTTACACAATTGTGTTGATCATCATCTTCATGGTAATGAGGAGGACCAGAAGAAGCATCAGAGATCATGGATAAATCTTCCTCCTCCTCCTCCTCCTCCATTGTAGCCCCCTTTCCTTCATAGTGTACTATCCCACCTCTCCTCTGGAAATAACTTTCATAGAGAGAGGATTGGTCCAAGTAATGTGTCCAACCAGATTCATCAGCACTATTGTATTGCGAACTTGATATATCCATTTAACTCTTGTTTGTTTGAGCGATTGGCCCTTTAATGTTGTGATCAGGTGAAAGAGCGTAGTAGAGTGGTAGATAAAGGATCTGTTTTCTCTCTTTCTTGGCTCTCCTTTTTGTGGTTGTGAAGGTGGTTGCTCTCAGTTTAAGTAGAGGAGGAGGAACACTAGAGGGTGGAGAAAAAAATAATTCATTGACAAACAAAAAGAGAGAGAGAAAGAGAAACAAACGAATCACACAAGAATTCTAAACTGCTTGTCCCTTTGCTCACTCCTTTCGCCTTCTTATTTTATCTTTATGCGAATGAATCAACACTGCCAGTTGGCTTTGTGTGCGTGTGTGTACTAAAGTGTCCATCAGTGTAGACTGTAGAACGCGAGAGTGAAAGAGAGAGAGAGAGATGGTGGCAGCATTACCAATTACCATGCTGCAAACATAGTAAGTGGTGTCCTTTCAAGTTAAAAGTTAATTTTAATATGGTGTAGTCACGGCTAATGATGCCTTAATGATTAGTCTTTTGTTCCCGTTAATCGTTCAGAGTGCGTGTTTTTCAACCACCAACAAACTAATTTCTTCAGCTCTGTCTCCATTTTCTTAAATTTTTCACTGAACAGGCATTTGTCACAATCACCAACCATGCACTCGTGCACCACATAGCTTGGTAAATTAATTTCTGGGCATTTAAGGGTGGTTTTGTTTTCTTCCACTTTTTTAGTTGATATGTAAGTAGAGGATTAAACACCACTCTTGGAGTTAGACAGAGTCATGTTTCATAAAGAACAAGCAGTGGTAAGCACCGACTTGAGTGTGATGCCAACAAGAAAAAGCAATTATGCATGCTTACCGAAAAAAAGACTGCTGCTTATTTACGTGGAATATTCTTTTCAATGCTTAAATACCCTGCAGGCATCAACACGGAAAGGATTTTACCAGACAGAAACATGACTCACATTTTCACGTTTTGGATTTTCTTTTTCATATGCAAAACGCTACTAGCCCATGAGTAACAAACACTTAATTCGCTTAATAAATATGCATCTGCGGCGTCAAATTAAATGCAGAAAGTGAAAAAGGACACAGTAGAAAATATATGAAGCATGATGATGAAGATCCAAAAGATGGGGGTACTGTACATTAAGATATACCCCGCATGTGTACAACTTGCTTTTTGAGACAAAAACTTACCCTTCCCAAATGGTAGAAAATCCATATGGTACTTACAACACATGAAGGGCCCAGCGTAATAGGGTAGCTCTTACTCTATGTGTGATTTTGTACACGGAAATAATGTCATATTTGAGGAACACTGTGCTTGGGATCTGACACTTTGGCACATATATGCCTAGCTTGCCACATTGGATCATTCCATAGCTCACAGTTTTATTAAATTTAAGAGATGCTTCTGCAAAAAAAAAAAATTACAAGAAACGTGGTACAAAAATATTATTTTAATTTCAACATAATAGTTTACATTAAAAGCAAAACTTATAAAGATATTCTCAAATTAATGTGATGAAGACAAAACTTAATTGAAATAAAAATATAACAACAGATGCTCTTGCACTCTTGAAAGGAAAATGCTCTTATGTCATGTACGGATAACAGTAAAAAGTGAGAAAAACCAATTCGTGATTGACGTTGGAAACGTGGCAGTGACAATAAATTTTGCTTTTCTATATTTGTTTTGGACTTATTTGTGAATAATCAATTGAGAGTAGTCACCGAGTGGCCCTTCCTCAACGCAAGAAGCTAGTGATGAATGGGAATCTCTATTCATTTATTCAAGAAAATATTTAGTCTGTGGACAACGAAGTGTGACTTTATGCAAAGATGTCCCTCTTTTAATAGATTATGTCCTTTTGCAATTTGTGATGCATATCTGCTCTGTTAAGCACCGGGATTATCAACCTGAAATATATACAACTAAACCAGTCAACTAAGGGCTAAACCGTTTTAAAAAAACAACACCAGCATGCAAATTCACTTTTAGAATTTGGGACTCCAACGTTTATACAATCGGAACCAGACAAAGAGACATAATTGCTTTATATCGAATCCTCTTTTTCAAGCTTCCTCTCTTTCGGTTTGGTATGCCTGGTAATCATTTTCTTTTTTCGATATCGTAAGTAAATGTATTTCTGACCTCAATTTACATTCTTATGAGTTGTTGAATGTACCTTTGCTTTTCTCTCTTCTACATTCCTGTTTCGATTTGCGCACCTTTATTAATTTCGCGTTTCCAACCGCACGAGCTTTGCTATTATTGTCATTTTTTTAATTGCAAAGTCAAAGATTGCCGATTGCGAAATTGAAGTGTTTCAAGATTCCATTCCCTAGCAGCACCAACTTTCTTTACCTTTCACACCCAAGATGAAGATCAGTGTTAGTGTATGTCGAAGCGTGTCAAATTAAAATAAATTAAAAAATAAAATAAAAAGATGCAGATGATGGTTTTGTGAATTATTATGCAGACGGACGTTAACGATGGAAGAAATGTAGTTAGAGTGATGTTGTCCACGAGTTGATGACTTCAACGGACATTGGTGAATGGCAATGGCATGCGCATCTGCGAAATGTGACAGAAACAAACACTGCTTCTTCACCCTCTTCAGAGACGAGAATCAAGCCAAAAATGACAAATTCCCAACTACCCTACAACCCTAATCCAGCACGTGATTTTAAGTCTCATGCTTTTCGTTTTATTCGTCTACTCATCACCTCTCTATCTATATTTTTTTTTTACTTTGCACATTCTCAATCTATTGTCCTTTTTAGTGAACTCTTATGCTACTATTTTATTTGTTTGTCACCGGTATCTTTCAGTACAAGCTACAAACTCATATCATTCATGTTACGATAATCAATATTTCTAGCAATGGCATCAACCTATTCTAAATATAACTTTAAATTATTACTTCATAAATCAATTTTAGCAGCACATAATTATATAAAAAATCAGTTTTATAATTTATTTAAGTCTAAAATATTTTAAAATTGATATAATAATATGTTTATTTGACTTTTCCTTTTATATTATATATTATATTTCTTATTTTTGTTTATGTTTAATAAGTCTTCTAAAAAAATATTAGGAAAATAAGTTAAATCTATGTAAGAAAATTATATTAATTCCACCCATTAAAGACATAATGAGTCTTTAATAAATATTTTGAAATACCATACATATATATATATATATATATATATATATATATATATATAATTTTTGAGTGCGACATACACAAAATATACTAAAATTTTTATATGTATTAAAAAATATTTGGAAAGCCAGAGCCATCTACAACCTAAAAGGTTCCTGCTTTCACTCAAAACCTTAATTTATTATAAAATGTTAAAGTTTTTCGTTTTTATTCAATTTAAAATTATGCTTGAATTTTATTTTATTTTTTAAAAAAAACATGTTATAAGTGATATGAAGACATTACAAAAGAAGGTTTGATAAGAATTGAAAGAGGACAAAATTGTTAGATGGTTAAACTATTGGAAAGATTGAATCTGTGATAGTTTGTGGATAAAAAAATAGTGGAATCTAAGTTTGAAGTTTGAAAGAGATGAAGATTTGAGAATAGTGAGATGGTAGGCAAAGGGGAAACCAAAGAAAAAATATTCGAAATTGTCTTTTTGTGCAATAATTGTTTGGGTTTATAATGGTGAGAAGTTAGAAGGAGAAGATGAAAAAGAAGAGAAGCGGCGATCCAATTACAGCTGACCATGTTTTCCGGATGATAGATAGCGATAGTATTTGTTAGTATTTTATCCACACACTTCAATGCTCGCCATGTGATCACCCTATTTCTCAACTTCCATATTATTGTACTTCCCATCTTTTCAATCTAATAACTCACTAGTGCCACCAGTTAACAACTTAAAAACATTTTAACTAAAACATGTTATTCTTTCTCTTTTCTATTTCTACTGTCAAAGTAAGTTCCATTCTCTTCCCTTACAAAATAACTTATATCAAAATTTATGAAAGTTAAAGGAATTTTGATAGAAAGTTTTGAATGTATGTTAAGAAAGGGAGGTTTTAAATTTAGGGAAAAGGAGAATGGTAGAAGGGAATGTAGTTTTGCTCTAGTTAATATTGATGGCCATATAAAGAAAGACAAAAGGTTCACTCTATATATATATATGTACCTAATAACAACCTTGAGAATCTCTCCATCTTAGGTAGATTAATCCATCAACATAGTGTGTGTATGCCCCTGCCACAACCAAGACATGAAACAGTTGGTGACTGTGGCCAGCAATATCAAACTTCCCTGGCATCCACCTCTCTGGTATCCTTGCCACATATATTACTGCTCCCAAACCATAAAGAACTCCCATTAGTATCTCATACCCTGTTGTTTGCAAGGCCTCAGGTTGATGCTTGTGCAGTATGAGTTTATGTATAATGGGTGCCACACCTGAAAATCCCATTAAAAAGAAGATAGTAGCACGGTACTTCCTGAACTCAGATTTTTGGAAAAATGGGAGAAGAGAGAAGATCATGGAGGCTATCCCCATCAGTGTTATTAAGCCTAAGTAGAAGTAGCAGGAAAAAGGGTTGCACATGAATGTGTAATACACAGGAGGGTAAAATGAAGTTGCAATCAATGCAGAAATCCCGGCATAGTCAATTCTCAGCATGATGTAGGAAAGGCGCTGTGAATGGCAAGCAAAGAGGTGGCATGTGCTGCTGGCCAGCAAACAGAACATCGCCCCACCTAAGAAGGCATAGAAAGGCCACCTCGTAATCGGTTCTACCACTAAGGGGGATACCATGTTCATGTCACCTTTCAGACCATCCTGTAACAAAGTATAATTCTCATATATAAACCAACGTTAGTAGTGTACTGTAACAATTACTTAAATACAATGTATTCACACATGCTTCTTTTGCTAAAATAACATCATTCATCGCGGTTTATACAAAAAGAAATCAATGTTTTGAATGCATCAGCTAATAGGTGAACATAATCTTAAAGGAGACACTTCACAAAGAGGAAGAGGAACTTACAAGGGAAAACTGCTCAGGCAAGCACCTTCTGAGAAGTTCCACAACGGTCCAACCTGATACTGAGGAAAAGTCTAAAGAATAAAGAGATGTACTCAAGTCATTTAGCTTGAGAGTCTCATGCATGTTGGGCAGTGAAGGCAGGCATTTCAAGAGCTCTAAACGAATCTTGTTCAGATCAGCTTTCCCTATCAGTTCAGACAGATGTTGAACGGAATTGAAATCCGCAACCATTGGAGATTTTGCAGCTGTGTATATGGTGAGAAAGAGAAAAAGGAAGAACCCTATCAAATGCCTGAAACAATGTCACTGTCGTTAAGTGAAGGATTGTAATTTAGACAAGTTAACTACGCACCTTTAATGTCGTTTCTTAAAAGAGACATACTTAAAGCACAACAATAAGTCGTATCGTATATCTAGAGATAATCTTCAAGATGTACCTCAGATTGTGGTACTGTTTGTCAATTAAGAATGGAATTGCATCTCACTAGCCTACGTTGTCCTTTAAGGCTGATTAATGCGCAAATTACCAAAATGAAATTTCAATAGTGATGAGAAAACAAACGCCACAACCACATAAAGTAGATCTTTTCATTATTTGTTATTGAACAGTGTTCCCAACATAAGAACACTCTTGAACTTAAGTACAAACTCCTCTTTTATTGCCCCCACCTTTGGTTAATTAATTCTGTGATAAAAAAAAAATCTTAAAATACATTATCTTGTATATATATACACTTTAATAGGACATGTTTGAAAGAAGCTAAACTATGCGCAACAAATATAAAATAGAAGTAGCACTAAGTTAAGCCACACTTTTACAATACAAGAAATTTTTAAAACTAAAAAATGCACCTCAAATGAAAAAAAAAATACAACATAAAAAGGCACCAAGTTTAGCAGATATATAATGAAAGATATTTGTACTTGAAAGTCAAAGTACTTACGTCCAGACATTGAATGTTTCATTATGAATTGAGAAAATGCTAAGGAAGATATGTTTCAGTGGCCACTCTGATCGATAATAACCCAATATGAATTCATTGTCCCTCATGTAGGCTGGTAGTGAATTGTATTCTACAAGCTGGTATTTTAATTTTCTCCATTGTCTTACTCCCTTCCGTAATTTTGAACTTGTTCTTTCATCTTCGCCATCATGTAAATCATTAAATTTTTCGTGTGTAGCTATAAAGCCATCCGATGCACCACGTATCATCTCTGCAATGTACAAAGGAACACTTTCAAATCAAGAAACTAGTTGATATTGAAGCCACTGGGCAATGATCAAAGACCCCAGATGATAATAGCCCTCAACAACTTTTCTCTCTTGACCTGGTTAAGTCGGTTTATGAAGAAAAGAAAACCCAAAAGGCCAATGATTAACACCCATCTAGAAATTATTCACCTTCTGAAGTGAATCAAGACAACATAATAGTCTCTAACCAAAAGGGATGGGGGAGAAAAGAAAGCCCAAAAGACAAACTGCAGAAGCAGACAGCAGAGGATTAAACAATGAGAACAAGGTACATGGTCATGCTATAAGGTTCCGTAGAATCAATGAATTAACTTCGCTCATGTGATCTTTGAGGAATATAATCTTCCATGCAGATTTCAAGAAGAAACACTAAGCAGCCTCAATGAACAAATTAAAAATAATAACGTGAATTTTACACTCAAACATGAAAAGGATTAACGTGAATATTGCTACCAAGGCTAAAGCTAAAACAGTATACTACCTAGTCCTGTCAAGTTTTTTTGGAGAATTTGAGTCTAAAAGCAGCAATGGAACCTTGTGAATGAGTTGGCCAACAAGAAAATCGAAGCCTATGCTTCTATTCATTACTAAAATTAAATATCAAATTCACAATCACCCACGACTCCACCCAAATTTCCACCTTACAATTCAAGTTCAAACACCTGAACGTAATCGGATATTGTCGCCGTTTCATCTATTCGGGAAAACTTCTGACAGAGGCGCATTGATTTAGACATTGCTGACATTGATCACAGTTCTCCCATGTAATTAAAATAAATTTACAACGCACACAGTGGCACGGTGCATCTAATGTAAACGTAGAGTGTCAAAATTGTATGAAAATTTGACTTGCCTGAAATTTTCAGGGGGACAGAAGTATGCAGATGAATACTGATGTGCCCGGGAAAGGGAAGAGACAATACTGTAAGAAAGATGATAAGGTGGTGCCGGAGGATGGTATCCTAGTCCCGGCAAAGGACATTACACCATCCCAACGTATTAAGAATGACATTGCATAAACCCAGTATGACACCTAATACCCTATTTCTTAGTTTCGCCATGTTGCAACCTCAAATTGAGACAACTCAGAACTTTTATTTGCCATTCATGGCATGTGTGATCCCATATATTCTCTGGCAGAAAAGGTCAATCCTTTTTCTCTCTCTTGGAATCGTCTATTCGGATTTCTGTCCCATTTTAATTTTCTATGATCTAAAATCAGCACTTCCCTGTGATCCATACAATGTGACCACTTTCTTTTCTTCTTTTATTAAATTTCTTCTCTTCAACAAGTACAATACCGATTCAAGGAAATAATATAGTAAATAAATTATTCCCATTATCAACAACATTATTCCAATTCAAACAACGCTATTCGCAACTAGAGACAAAATGTTTTGAAAAAAAGAGTGGAATTGGCTTAAATAGCGGGAAAGAGGTCGTTGAGTCTGCATGGTAATCTATAGAAATCATCGTTCCGACCATCAGCATTATATACACTGAACTTCTCCCACCACTGCAAACCACTGTCCCTATGGGCTGCATCATTTTCGCATGTGAGTGTGGTGTCCAAAACGAATGCAATCAACCCCGCCACTGTTGTGTGGGACATAAAGATCACGCTAACCATATCATTGAACTGCAAATTCATTGAAATGACAGAATCATCTAAATCACATCTAAACTTGATCAGAATCTACGTGCTTTGGAAACTATAATTTGAACTTAAGTATCCAGGGAACTGTGTCATTGTGAATTAAATTTCAATTATTGGTTTCGGTTCAGGTCTCTCACCCAGCCGTGTTGATGCTTCACGTGAAAAATTTCTATGAAATATTGTGGTATGGAGAGGCCGAGGAAGAATGAAGAGCCCAGCACGAATTTGGTTCTGAAACTGTTTAGGTTACAGAACTGGAGAAAACCAAGACCTGCAGAAGCTGCATATCCCAAATTGCAAACTCTTGTCAAGTTCATGATTCGCAAAGCTCTACAAAGACAGTTGGTTAGAGAGAACTTACAGACATAGCCCAAGAGCACACAGTTTAATGCTGCTATGATTGGCAAAGGTATAGAAGCAAAAATTGCTCCCACTTTTCCTGGTTGAAGAGAACGTGTGCAATATGAGATATCACTAATTGAAGAGAATAATAACACTGCATGGACAACATCATGAACGAACAAAACCTGGACACAACTCCTTCAGTGTTGATCGTGTTTTCTCAAATTAGTATTGAAGTGTCATCTTGGTATTATGCAAATTATTAAAGTAAAACTTCAATTCTGACGAGAACAATGCCAACCATACTTAATTGTATTTAACTTTTTCCCCGTTAGGAAATTCCATATTTGTGAAGGGAAGAACATTAAGCTTCATAGTTTACCAAAGATGTTAGTCTATCATACCAAATATGGAGAAGAAAATCATAAAGCCAGCTGATATTTGGATGACCCTTCGGCTTCCCACTCTAGTCAGTGCCAATAATCCAGCATTCTCCCTGAAAGCAGAGCAATGCAAACGCGAAAAAGATGCATATGGTTACAGACTCGCAACCACTACGAAGTTTTCTGGGCAGAACCATGCACTAACAGGAACTAGGAAGGCAAAGAAAACTCTATAGTTTTGGTATTTTTACCACCATAATATTTTTCTACTTAAAGAATTGTATAGGGAATGTTTAAAATGAAACATCGTTCCACTCTTTCCTACACACATTTAATAAAGAAAAAGAGTTTCTTCAAACCAAACAAGAATGTCCTTAAATCGGTTGAGCTTGAAATCATGAGTGATAGGTTAAGGCTCACTGATGCCGTACATTTAAGGGGGTTTTAATGTTGAGATGGACTTACACTGATGCCGTACATCCAGTTACAGAACCCAAAACGCCACTGAAAAAAGAAGCTACTCCCTAAAACAACATTAAGAATGACACAAACAATCAATATTAAGTTTCCCGATTGTGATTTCAGAAAGAATTAAAAATAAGTGCATGTAATTAAAAATAAGTGCATGTGGATCTTACCACCCAGCCAGCTCCGCGGCCAATAACATGTGGTGGCACGGGTGTTGCACTTCCATACCTTGCCGCGGCTTAAAATGCACCGGTAGACTGAATGTTAAGATGAAAAATGTTGAAATTCGAAACAAACATAAGATGGAATCTGGCTTCATTTTGAAGTGTTTATTCAGATTTGGGTACTTTTTGTTACGAAAGGCTATTGAAGTTGCTTTATTGCACACTATCGTAATGATTAAAGCATGGGTGTCTGTGTTAAGGGTGTGCTTACCTCAAAAAGAGAAACAAAAGAAGCTGCTGTCATAGCCAAAGCTTCTCCGAAGTTGAAGGTAGGAACCCCCCATTGGAAGGGAATAAAAGGGAGATATACCCTGTATTAATGCAGACAATTTTATCAACATCTCATTCAAAGACTGAAACTTGGTGGATAAAGCAAACCTTGACTCTGAAAGAATGCAAGTTATTTATGATTAACTGGAAAAACATAATCTGTCCACAATCTTACCAACTAGAAGAATTCACAAGACCAGAACGATCAGTGCGGCAACTATTCTTGGTATCTTCTGGCTTGTTGTTGTATATAGTGCTTGCAGTCAGAATCTGTGCAATTAACCATGCACTTGCAATGGAAAACAACACCACAAATCTGCCGTTGATAAGCTTGTTGGGGCTAATAAATCTATTAAGATACTGCAAAAAGCATAGAAGATAACGAATACATCATGACCGAAATTTAAGAATAGAAGTAGTGAATTTTGAATTTAGCTACGTCACATCTCACACATTACAGCCTACTTATTCCAAGTCTGTTCACAATTCATGTTAAAGTTTAGTGATAAAAGTTAGAATGAGGGGTGTGAGAGGCTGTGGGTTTAACTCTCCATGCTAAAAGAAATTATCACATTTTACTTGACACGAGTAAGATTAACTACTTGCCTGTGAGATGAAAACCAAAATAATCAGTGCAGGAAGCCCCACTTCAACACATTCTGCCAGCTGCAAGAGTGATCAGCCAAAATAGAGGGAAAGTCAGTCAAATAATCCTACCATCAATTCCTAGACTTGTAAAGTGCTAAATTGCATAAAACTTGTGACTTAAGATTCAAGCGCTCAACCTATTTGACTGAAACATCTATACCAGAGGAGAAAAATTTTACCATTGGGAATCCAAGATGGTAGAGACCGAGTCCAGTGAAAGTTACGTAAGAGACAACAGAAAGTGGGCTAAGGAACCTAAAGCAGCACAAGAGAAAGCAGTTAATTAGGTAGATATAACACGCTGGAAGTGATTAAAGGATTTTATAGACTCTAACTGGCCAAAAAAACTGTAAGCATGCACTTACTAACCTGACAGCACCCCTCCAAAGGCCCAAGAATCCCACAACTATTTGGAAACATGCACTCACAATCAAGGCGCCTTGTATCCCTCTAATTGTATGAGTGAACCTCTGTTCATCAGCAACATAATAGCAAGAATTGAATATCATCAAGTGGAACCAAAGTCAATAGGCTTTCTTAATTTGGATAGGTTTTTCTTACAATCTTGTGTAATATCAACTTTATGGAGAAGTTTTATTTCATTTTTTTTGTATTACAAGTGTTCACGGAGAAGTCCTACAATTCACAAGAACTTATACAAGCATAGAAGATAATCTCCTTGACCTCGTAAGGATCTGTATATGAACTGTATCTCTTGGCATGGACAATTGACATTGTGGGTATTAGGAAACTGTATGAACCAACAACTACGGTTGGCAATCGTGTTCCAAACCAAGATTGCAGAAGCGTGCTTGCTCCAGAAACAAACAGTAGATTCTGTATCACCTTGGCCTTCTCAGCCTACGTTGATTAAGGATTTCAATTTATACCCTTGTAAAATTTGAAAGAGAAAAGATTAAAAAAGCTAAAAAAAACAAATGGAAAGAAGCTTACATGGCCCCCACCCATTTCAGTAACGATCGTAGTTGGAATCAGAACTGTCACACCAAGAGTCAGAATATAATGCTGAAATCCCAATAACACTGCTTGTTCTGCTCAAATCCATATACAAAGTTTAAAGCTCAAGAAGATAAAATTGATGAATATTTTGGTTCATGAAAATTATAATATTGTTCTTCAGCTTAGATGTTCAGAAGGAAAACTCACAATATTCTGAGTAAACACACTTTGCATTGAATATTTATATATATATATATATATATATATATATATATATATGTTTGTGTGTGTGTGTGTGTGTGAGTTTCGTAAGAAGCGTGTTAGTGTGTTAATTTCCAATATGTTTTAGCATAAAAAGAAAGAAAATAAGCGATGAACAGAATATACTGACGCCAGGGAGGAGGACTCTTAATGCAATACTGAACATCAGGTAATTGTTCTTTCACTGGATGTGGTAGAGCTAACGCCACTTCAGGTTGTGTCTTTTTATTACCGCCATTGCCACCGCAACCACCACTGTCACCGCCCTCAGTCATGTTTGTAAAAGCGGAGAAGGATACTGTACAAGTGAACTTAATCACTTATTTAAAGTAATATTTTCTGTTTGGATGCAATTTCACCTATTAAATTACTACACATAACAGTTATATTGTCTTGATAGCCAAATAATACAAATTATTATGCGATTTCAACAAATTAAACCGTCATTCAACGTTATATTTTGGTAAGAAATAGTTAATTGTAATAGATTGTATTTAATAGAAATAAATAAAAATGTAATCATGAATAACACAAAAAGATTAATCCTAACATTAAGATAACATAACCTTACAGAAATATAAATATTAATTATGTATGATTTCAGTTCTTCTGATGAAGAAAACAAAATTAATTTGATTAATTAGTCAAAATCTGTTCCAGTAGTGAATTAGTTAAAATGTACGTAAATTAACTAGAACATTGCATAAAAATTTATTAGTTTTTTAATTAAAGCAATCTTATAACATTAAAATAAAATTAATATAATTGTAAAAACATTATTTTCAAATTTGGTTAAAATTCTATTCACTTGAAAACGATCCCAATGATCAAACCTTTGGATTAAGTGGTTTAAGTATAACACGTGATTCGAACATACGAAAACAAAAACATGTTTCGGACAGTTTCTATATGCTAGTGTTAAGGCCATTGAAATCATGTTCCAACTGAAATTTAGTCACATAATAGTTTTTAATTTCGTTTATCACAAAATATATTATAATTGACAAATAAGAAATTCAGAAATGATTTCAATCAGGAAAATCCTTTAATTTTACTTTAGCAATTGCTGCAACCTATCATTTTATTTAATTCCATTTCGTCTTTGAGAGTTTTAAAGTACTTGGGAAGGTGCAGTAGTGTGATCCGGATAATGGGATCCAGAAAGGTAAGTGGCTGATCCAAAAGTGGATTCCGGAAAGGAAAAAATACTGACCGGAAAATGAATTCCGGAAGGTGAAAAGAGGTTTTTCGAAAAGAAGTCATCCGAAAAATAATCTGAAAGTCAGTTTTTTTTTAAAGGAAATATTTCCAAAATAAAATTTCCACAAAAAATTCTGTGAGACAAATTTCTGAAAAAAAATCAAAAATTTGTTTCGAAATATTTTTCTTTTTTGGAAACAAAATTCCAGAATATATTTCCTGTTTCTGGATTACATTTTTCAGAAATAACTTTCAAATAAGAGTAAAAGCGAAAATTAAATAAATTGATGGCATAATAGAGTGCAAGAAGCAACACCCATTTATTTTTACTTTTTTTTTTTACCTGTTCATTTCCTTAATTCATATTCAAATTTGATTTAGTGAGATGGCAAGAGGTTTTGAATATAAATTTAGAAGATTTACGTTTTTCAGGTATATTATTATGAATTGATAATTTCAAATCTTATAATAAGTAAATTTTTATTAATTTTTTTTATATTTTTATTTATTTTTTAAAATATATATATTATTTAGACAGACTATTTTATTTAAATAAGTTGGTCTAATAAATTCAATTTTTACTTTTAATTTTTTTTAATCTAAATTACATCAAAATATTTAAAAGTGGTCACATAAAAATATTAAAGATATTACAATAATTAATTATTTTTTATGAAAATAAAAAAGGTATAATAGCTAAATAAGATTAAGAACAATAAAAAATATTAAAACATAAAGATATTAATAAAATAATATAAAGTACTCAAATAAACTATTTTATATATATATATATATATATATATATATATATATTGGTAATGAGATGTTTAAATATCTAATTCTGATAACAAATATCGTTTATCTGGTTAGAAACTAATTTTATGTTTGTAATTAAAGTTTTGAATAAATTTAAGTAATTCTTTTATGAAGTATAAGAAAACTTATGTGTTATTTTTTCTTTCTAAAATCTTTTGATATAATTATTAGAAAAAAATTATTTTTCATATATAATTTTTTTGGTATTTTCCGAAAGTTGGTTAAAATGAATAAATATTATGAAATATTGTAGCCTATGTTGAATTTTTTTAAGAGATAATATGGATAAATATATTATTATTTTTTATTCTTTCTTTGGTGTGAATTTCTTATATGCTAAAATTATGAGAGTCACATTTTTATTAAACATTTTCAAAATTTTGATTTTAAACGTGTTTGGTTAGAAAATTTCTTTTTTTTTGGCTTTTAGAAGAAGATGGAAAAAAATCTCAAAGATAGACAAAAGAATGAAAATTAAATATTCTCATACTTTTAGGAATAAAAATCACTTTGGATAAATTGAATTTTATAATTAAAAAATAAATTTCATTATAAATTATGTGATATCATAGCATTGGTTTTATTTTTTTTATAATATATTTAAATCTGTTCAGTTTCTTTTAAAAAAAAATGGCATATATTTTTTATACGTTAATTTAATCCACGTTATTATTATTATTATTATTTTAATAATATTTTCATTATAAAGGATTTTTGTGCTCATATTTTATTAAAAAATTATTTTGGTTCTGTAATATATGATGATAAATGAAATTATTAGTTAACTATTCTTTTACATCATGTATATAAAAAATATTAAAGTATACGTTACTAACCGTTGGTAAAAATACGTCAGATATCAATTATTTGTTTTTAGAAAACATCAAATTCATTAAAGTAATTTTTCAGTTACTCAGGACAAAGTGTAAAACCCGTTTCAAATAGAAAATAAAACAAAAACGACTTCATATAATAAGATTAAAACAATTGGTCGGGAGATAAAAATAGGAAAACAAATACGCGTAGAAGCTACGCGTCTTGTTAACAAAAAATAAAAGTTATAATTAAAAATTAGTTATAAAATTAAAAATATTATTAAAGTTTATGTTAAAGTTATTATATATATATATATATATATATATATATTTGATAACTTATTTAACAGTGTATTAAATTTTAATCGATAAAAAAAGTTTTTATTCATAAAAAAACATATTTTAAATATATGAATATTTTAATAATTTTTATTTTCGATTTAAAATAAAAAATTAAAAAATATTTAAATATTTTTAATCTTAAAACTTATAATCTAGATATTTTTATCAACTAAAATTTAATACATCTCAATAAGTTATCTAAATTAACAAAATCCATATATATATATATATATATATGTGTGTGTGTGTGTGTGAGA